GACTTACGGCAATTTTGCAAATCATTTAAATTTTTTGTAAAATTTTGTAAACTTTATTTCTCCGCATTTATTTTTATTTAATATATTTTTTAATTTTCTTCATTTTTAATTAATTATCAGACTCAAATATTCCAGTCCCAGGTTGAAATTCACAACATACGAAATTTATAGAAGATTTTAAATTCAAAATTTCCTCAAATATGAATTTTGAAGTTGACGTTTTGAGATTTGCATTTTGTTGTTTGCCATTTTGAAAGTTGGCATTTTGTCGCTTGACATTTTGAAAGTTGGCATTTTGTTGCTTGACATTTTAAAAGTGATATTTCGAAATAATGAGTTAAACCCTTGCATTTGCACTTCCGGTCATTTTGGACAAACTTTGAAAAAATGAACTGAGACTCTAGAGTCCAACATTTCGCACTATATCGCTTTTAAACTTCTCTATTAGTACTTATCCCAGATGTTCTCTAACTACCGACCATTTTCATTACCCACCCAGATTTTCTTAAAGGTACTTTTTATTTGAAAGCTGTCATCGCCCTTTACCTTCAAAAGTAATTAATCATTTTAAATATGATTAATTGCCCTCCTTAATTACCGATGACCTTCTTCAGTAGGTGTAGTTCGGCGGCATAATTAAATAAAAAAAGGCATCAAAAGGAGTGAATTTCTGGAGGAGAGCGATTTGGGTTGTTCCAAAACAAAAATGATGGCTTAAAACCCCTTTAATCCCATAGGATTGTCGGCAAGTTCAAAAGAAAATACCCCCTAAAGGCTCAGGTTTGATGTGACAGTTCATCAAATGGGATGAGCGATTTGGGTATGTGGAGCGATTGGGGCATAGTTAACTACTTCATATTTAGCAAAAATCATATGCGGGTGTCATATCTTATGTTAATTTGAACAGAATAATTTACATATGACGGCTGCATGTGATACGGTATCATATGTGGCCGTCATATGTAGCCGTCATATCCCCGTGTCATATTTGCGATATGATATCATAAATATGATATCATATCGCAAATATGATATAATTTGAACAGCTACATATGACGTGTCATAAATACGACATGTCATATCAGAAATATTATCTAATTTGCATAGGCCCGTGCTAGGATTTTCTAATAATTTTAAAATTTAGTCCAAAATTCCAACTCTTTCTCTTGTTATTCCATTCTCATCCAAATAAAATTCATAACTTCCTTCCTTAAAAAGTGGAGTAATGCTGGCAACAGATGCCGTATTTGGATATTCTTCATTATTTGGAGGTTCCGTATTATGTACATTCATTTGCCCATCTTCAAGGTCATCTATCTCTGTTTTTAATATATCTATTAATATGTGCCGTCTCAAACTTTTCAACACCTTTTTATCCAAATCAGAAATTTTCTGAAATATTTTAAACATACATCTGTCTTCATTTGTTTTTTTAATTTTAACGTAGAATCGAAGCCATCCAACTTCATAACGATTTATGACGTAAACAAAATAATTTCGTGGATTTTCAAATTTTAAACAAAGTTCTATGTGAGAATATTCCATTTTCATTTTATTATTATTTGCTTTTAATGAAGTTGATTCAATTAAATTAGCCTTGCTAAAATTTTCTCTTTTTAAAATTTTTCTAGGCCCTTCCGGGTTCAAAAAACATATTAATTTTGTCAATTTAGCATAATTAGATCGAGATGTCAGTAACATTGATTTTATTCCGTTTATGTCCATTTCTAGACCAGGATCTACAGCAGAAGTTGCTAGATCTTCTTCTGTCAGTTTATTTAACTCCAAATCAATTTTTGAAAAAAACATGGGCTTTAAAGTCATTAACTAAAAATTGAAAATTTAACACTTATGTACCGAGACCCCTAACTTACCGCCGAGCTATAACTTCATTCAAAATTGTTATGTCTTCTTATGGTTCGATGCGGCTCGAACAGCTGATCGAACCACACCATTGCGCCACGGATTCGACAATTTTGAACAAAGTTATAGCTCGGCGGTACGTTGGGCTCGCGGTACATTGGCCTGTTCCCATTGCAGGCAACGTTAAATTTGATTTGCTCCCGTCTTACGCTCTTACGCTTCCGTATTTCGTCATCCGTTTTTACTTAATATATTTTCATCCGTTTTTAGTTTCATCCGCTTTGCAGATTCCGCTTTTATAATATGCTAGACGTTAAAAGGCTCCCGGACAATGCGTCAGTGGACAATGCGTGAGTGGAAAATGCGTCAGTGGACAATCGGTCATTGATGATATAAAGTGATTAAAAGTGATGATATAAAGAGATAAAAATCCACTGATATCTCTCCAAATCGAATGAACTCCATCCTAATCCAACCTAACAAATTAATATTTCTTTAATCCTCCCAAACCCGTGATATCGGCCTTAATCCCAATAAATTCCTCTATATCTCTTTTAAACCCCCAAAATCAACTTTTAAATACTCCTATCTGTTTATATCCCATCTTTAGTCCTTTTATATCACTTTTTATCCCTTTACATCATCACTTTTAATCACTTTTTATCAATACTGACCGATTGTCCACTGACGCATTTTCAACTCACGCATTGTCATGACACGGTTAAAAAAGCAATTTATTTTACCTTTCTATCAATCTCAAAATCATCATCGTCATATTCTTTTAAACAAATATTTATTTTCATTATTTCTGAATACCAGAACACATCCTCAACCAAAATTAATTTTTCCCTTTCTTTCCATTAATTATACTATTTATTTCATGTGTTGTTTCGTTAGAGGTACTACAACCGTTTAAGTACGAGCTTGAACTTGTATAAACATAATCCTTCTCATTTTTCTCATCAATTTCGTATAAAATTGCAATTTTATACGGTTCAAATTCTTCTTCATTTTTATTTACTTCCATTCTCAACAAATTTATTTTGACACTTCCATCCTTGTTTTTATTATTTTTTGTTGATTTAACCAAAATTCGTTGATTATTTTTATAATCAGAAAAAGAGTAATCAAAAAATATTAAAAATAATATTTTAAAAACAAATATAAATTTAATAGAAAACATTTTTCAAAATTTATTTTAATTATATTCGATAGCCTTTTATACTAAAAAGTTGTTAAGGAAAGTTAATTTGTTAATTAAAAATTATTTCATAAATGCACTTTAAGGACAGTAAATAATTTTGATAAACAAATATTTTGTGTATTTTAAACAATTTTAAAATAATTTCCGACAAAATAGGGAAAAATTTTACGAGTGTACTTAGTGGAATAATGAATAGTGTTGACCGGCATTGCGACCTAAAATCGGTATCGGTATTTTGTAATGATGATACCGATACAGGCTCGGTATCGGTATCGGTAAAATCGGTATCGGAGTCGATACCGCCCAACTCAAGTAATGAATATATGTATACTATGTATATTTACTTATTATTTTGTAACAAATTTTGTGAAAAATTTTCCCCTTATTTATCAAAATTTCTTTGTAATTTTAAGAAATAAAAAATTTGTTTATCGAAATTACTATTACCCTTAAAGTACAATTACAAAATAATGTGTGTTAAAGTACAATTACACACTATGTTTACATGCTATCAAAGAGAAGTTGTGCTTGGCAAAAAATGGGCAAGCAAAGCTTCTGAAACTTGGCCGACATGGGCAATTTTATTTTTTGTAAATATTTTTAGTGAATTCGTTTTGAATTTTTTCAATTTTCTTTATTTGATATTTAATTTTTGGGGTCCACATTTCAGTTGCATATTCTAGCTGGGGTCTTATATAAGTTTAATATATTAAAGAGATTTAAGTCTCTAGATTTAATGATACTTGTTATTTGGAAACTTTTTAGATATGCATTTTTTATAATCATATTTATACGGTTATTAAAATAAATTTTAGAATAAATTAAAATTCCAAGATCGCGAATGCATTCTGTTTCTTGTATTTTTAGTCAGTTTTTTTAAAAAGACAGTTTTAGATTTATTATTTTTTATTTATTATCATTCCCCATCATAGAATTAAATTCTAAAATTTTCTGCTGTTTAAAATCCTCCCCATTTTTTCTTGATTTTTTCGCAATATCTTTTATTCCTTTCAAAAACTCGTTACTTTCCATTCTTCTTATCTCATATTCTTTTTCAATATTAGCTTTATATTGTTTATATCTTCTTTTATCGATATAATTTTTTCGACGATTAGCCTGAAGAGATTTATTTAAACTATTAATGAGCTTCTGAATTTCTTCTTTTGTAGTAGTTCCATTGATGTTCTGTTCCCTTTGAGCGGCCGTTTCTTGAAAAGGCACTTCTATGTTTGATTTTCCATCTCCTCTCATTTTTAATCTGCTAGACATAGGGAAATCTCGAGAACCACGTTCACCACTTCCTTCGCCTTTTTGACCGTCATATATATCAACCTGCTTTCCTTTACCCTTACTCACTCCAATTGCATTGTAACTTTTATGGCGATGAAAAGGTAATGATTTAACTGGTTTAGCATGTTTTTTAACAGTTCCAGGTAAATTATATCCAGGAGGAACTAAATTATAAAAATGTTTTATAGCATATTTAGTGACCTGAAAGATGCTGATTAAAATTACAAGGTTGATTAAATTGTATATTGCCAGCTCCGCTATCCGGATGACCTCCTTAATTTTATTTATTTTTAAAAATTTATTTAAAATTTAACCAAATGAAATATTTTGTCCATGTTGAAAGTAACTAAAATTAGGTGCTCTCTCATCACCTTAAATGTTTTTGGTATTACATTATAACATCCTTTTAACAGGAGCTAGTCGACGTTTTGTCCAAAGGTCGACGTTTTGTCCAATCCCACGTGGTGCCCCGTATCCCACGTGGTGCCCCGTATCCACCAATTTGAATAAAGTTTTTTAAATTTATTAAAATATTAGTGAGAGAGAACCGGCAAACTTTTGGTCGGAATCAAGAAATTTGATCGATTGATATTTGCCCTGTTATCTAGACGGAGTCTTTTACGAGGTCTAGAAATGATCGAAATTAAGGAATGAGGTGGAATGAGGAAATTATGTAATGCGGTCCAAAATATTTTAATTTACCATCGTAAAGCGTTCGGATATTCTTATCGCTGGATTGAAAATTTTGTCTAGGAGTTAAGATAACGGGTCGAATAAATTGTTGAAGTCGATCACTGTATTCTCTAGTCGTTACATGACTTTGATTATCTAAAAGGAGATTTTATATTGTAGCTGTCTACATCCGAACGATAAGTGTTAGCGTTCGGTATACTTCGAAACAGATGCAATAATAAGGTCATAGATCTGGCTGAGGTTTAAACATTTTTTGGGTTGGGAAAATGTTAAATTTTAATAAGGATGTGGCGTAGGATATGGAGCAAAAACAGAAGAGGCATATATGGTTTGTTGTTGAGAATTTGGTTGAAAATTTGGCGATTCACTCGGATGTTTTCATTATAATTGAGCTTTAGGGTTTAGTTATCAACGAATTATTTTCGCAATATTTTATCTTTACAAAATTTTTTCCTTAAAACCTCATACCCCTACCCGTACCTCGACCATTTTGCTCCCCGCCACGGAACAACTGACACATCCACCCCCAGGCGTTTGAAGTACAACCCTAATTTATGTATATAATAAATCTTCAATTAATATTTATTGGGTTAATTAATAACAAACTTTGTGGAGGAGAGATTCTAGGACGTGGAGCAAAACCAGGAGGAACATCCACTTCCTTTTCTTGAAAAATTGTTAGAGAATTTGGTCGAGTATTTGATGAACCTTATGTAATATTTTCAGGTAATTAACACAAAAATTTAAATAAAATTTTAATTTATCACCTCCATTAGTTTTAGGTTCCACGCAAAATGTTAAATCAAATAAATTTAAAATAAAGAAAAGAAAAATAACAAAATTTGACAACTCCATCCCTTAAAAATTAAAATTATTTTAGAGTTTCTTAGCTTATTTTCAATAAATATTGTATTACTCAATAAGATGGGGGTCCTTTGTTATTGTAAATTTTGTCTATTTAATGTCTAGACAGCCAAAAAATAAATAAAAATATCGCCCAAAATAAAATAATATTTCAAAAATATTTAATTTTATGATGAAATTTTTATTTAATATATTATTAGCTCAGTTCTAAAGCTTTAGATGCTAAAAGAGATTATATTTTTCAACCTAAAACTCTACCTCAGGAAAGCTCTCTAATATAAGCACAACATACAAGAGATTGATAATAGGTGATAGTACTCGAGAATTTACGGTAATATTCACAATATAAGCCACTATAGACGTTTAATTATTTACAGACTACATTAATAGATCAAGAGCGAAGTAAATAATTAATAGAATATGGTGGGAAATGTCGTTAACGTAAAGTGCAATTCTTAGAATATTTCCTAGACAAAGAGACAACTAAATTTTTTGAAATAAAAAGTTTAAGATGATGTAATAATTAAGCTTTAATGAATAAGAGATGTGGAGAAGAGATTCTCTTTAACTAATGTGGCAGAATTTTAAAATATTTTCAAAAATTTCCAAATAATTTTCGACCCGTCATAATTAATCTCAATGCTGCAGCAATTTCGTCTCACAAATTTGCACGAACGGGGATTTTGTTTCCAGTCAATTTTGAAAGGATTGTTGGACGATTTGCAACCGTTAATAATAAAATTTTTTGATTTACAAAAAAATCCTTCAAATTACATTGCACTTCCAATAAATGTAGGAGCAATTGTTTTAGTAAAGATTGATGCGTCTGAAAAATTTTTAAAATTTTCAAAATTTTATAATTTTCCATATAACCTTGTTTTCCCTCCAAATCCACTCCCAAAATATTTTTGGCTGTTTTGAGCTACTCTGAACATCCTCTTCTCCTAGCATTAAAATGTCGTCTGGGAAAAAATTTATAATTTTCAACAGAATTTTAAAATATTTTCAAAAATTTCCAAATAATTTTCGATTACCATAAACATAAGCATTATTTTTATAAACTGTACGTGCTGGAACAGGATGAGGTGTCATAGTCTTTTTTGGTGGATGAAAAAATTCAGGCGGAGTTCCATCACACCGCATGACTAGTTTCGCTATATTTTACTACAAAAGAATGATTAAAGTCGATATATATTTATATTATAAATTTACGAATCTTTATAACAACGGATAAACCTTGGAAGCAACTTTAATTCATTTACAGATCCTTTTTATTTTCAAAAAATAAAAAAATATTAATTAAAATACATATTCATCATTAAAGGACGCTTGATTTTTTTTTGATGTATTTTGATTAAATAAATACATAATAGCTATTTTCTCTAAATAACAGCCGGCGACTTTATATTTCGATATTTATAATAGTGCGTGCCTCTCTATTGAATGCGGCTGTCAGGAAGATAAGACCGCTCAATTATAGAAAATAGATTTGTTTCTAAAACTGACGATTTTATCTGAAGATTTTATATCGATGACACGTTTTGAAATTTAATTTGAATCAAAATGACTGTTGTAGCCCCAATTTTAAACAAACCTTGAAAATGATTTTGTGATTCTGGATTCTATGGACAATGTTTTTTTACAATGGTTTAAGTCTTCCTGTTTATACAAAAACTTTATTTAAGAGGAATTTTATGCCGACAAAAAGAAACGCTCATTTATTTAACATGAGATTCTCTAAGAAACGCTCGCATATTTCCACATACATGCTATAATTGCGTGAATGTAGAGGGAATAACGAAGAGGGAATCACGAGAGGATGGAATCGCGGGAAAGGAGGGAAGGAGGAGGGAATCATGAGAGGAGGGAATCGCGGGAAAGTAGGGGGGAATCATGAGAGGAGGGAATCATGAGGGTTTATTTTTAATTTTCAAAGGGCTATCATTTTTTCATGAGGGATAGGGCAAATAATAATAGCTATTTGATAGTCAATAATTATGTATTTTTAATATTATTTTCATTTAAATGTTTATTAATGAATAATATTCATAAAAACATATATATTTAAAAACATATATGTATATATCGAAGGTTTAACTCCGAATTCCGTTTTCTTAGAATTCAGGGCATACCGTCTGATTCTTAATCTTATCGCGTTTATTCTTTATCCCATCTTTTAAATTCAAATAAGTTTAAAATAAAATTATTTCTAGACATGAGATTAAAGTTTCCATAGCGTTTTCATGAGATTGGGTTTGACATTCCAGTTAGGTTAGCGGCTTTAATTGGATTAAATTTTAATGGGATTACACGCCTTATTCGTCAACATTTCACAATGAAACTTAATTTTACAATCCAAGGTTCCGTTCGGGCGTTATAAGGCCTATTCAAAAAAATTTTCTTTATAAATGGCTAACTTCAATTTTGTCTATAGATCCAATACCACAGCAACTCATATTTTCTTTCAAGAAATTATTGAAGAGTTCATTAAAAATTTCTTCTTTTCTGTAAAGCAAAACTGCTCGCCCTGCTTATTCCCATCGTATTGTTCCTAGTAGAACGCGTTTCTAAAATAAACACAAGTGTTTCTATTAGGAACAATAAGGTAACCAAATATATTTAGACTAAAAAAAGATGAATTTGTCAATTTTGACAAGCTTCCTTTTTTCTTTTTTCAATCTATTTTATTTGACGGGAGGAATGTATAGAGGAAACAGGCAAGGTAATTTGAAGAACATTTTAATTATTTGCGGAATGCTATTATAATCTTGATAGGAGGACATTTTTGTGGGTTAAAATTTAAATAGGATATGAACTAGATATTTAAAATATTCAGGGGTTTAATTCACTGGAATTACTGCAACCAATATTCTAAGATATAAAATTAAGGCGTTTATATTTACTTTTATAATTACGTTTATATTTACATATAAGGTACTATAAGTTAAACGAACAAAATGTTTATAAACACAAATTTTTAATGCTTAGCTTATAATTTTTTATATAAGAGCACAACTAATCAGAGTAGATCAACGAGAACCTAAATAAGCCCCAAGGATCATTATGAATTAAAATATTATCCATCATAGCGAATCTTACTTCAAGGCTTATAACATAATAAATTATAAAATTTGAGGCTATGGCTACAATGGAGAAGGATCGGTCCCTCCGCGCAATAATCAACCTAATCGACAACGAGAAGGATTACCTCGGGGTTATCAGCATTATGGATTTAACCGCGATGAAGGACCTACTCCGGCTGAATTGGCATTATTCTACCGTCATCAAAATTTTAATCGAAACCATCATAACGGGAATGAACGTATTTATTAAATTTTTATTATCTTATATGTAGAGATTGCTGGTTATTGGATTAAAAATGCTATCTCCTGTTAACGATATTATCTAGAGTTTGATCCTATTTATGCTTAAAATACAGACAAAACTTTAGAAAATATTCTAGCTTCAAAGATAAGTGTAATATTTGTTGTGTCAGATAGATTTTCAGGTTTACCATTGTAGATGACTAAACTAGAATTATTAGACAACATAGGCCGACTGAATCTATTTTCAGTTGTTTTACTCCCAATCTTGAATAGGATTGTCGGTTTCAAACATAACCGAACCGAAACACTGAAGCTTTTCGGCTCGGTTTATTGATCGGTGTTAACCGAAGAATTTTATGAAACAGACAGCCCTAATCTTTAATCAACTTAGGATTATTTGCAGGAGCAGAAGTAATTGAACACTCATACCCTGCAAGTGATGATGAAAGTGAAAATAACACTACAGGAAACAACAATTTTGGTATTTAAATATAAATTTTGAAAATTTTTATGTTAAATAGTGTTCTCGCAAAATTTTACTTTACCGAATTACTGAGCTAAAAGACCGTTAAGAATGGCATCATTAGGGTTCGTTAATGAAGTAATACCTAAAGTATAAAATTTAAGGTTATGGCAACCGTGAGGCTAACCCAGGTTATGACCGCCCTAGTGGAGGAAATGCTCATAGACAGCCTGGAGGGCCATCAGGCAATAGCCGACATGGAGAAGTATCAGGTCATGGCTTTTATGAAGGAGGATCAGGCTATGGCCACTCTGAAGGGCAATCGGGTCATCGAAGCCATGGAGAATCAAGTTATAGTCGCGATGGGCACGGATCAGGCTATGAACGCCATGGAGGAGGATCAAGTTATCGCCGCGATGACGAAGGATCTGATGATGAAGCGAATGATGATCATGGATTTTCTTCATGAAAATGCAGCATAAGAACATTCGGAAAGCTTTGAACCATTATATACATAGTCTAGCACGCAATTTCTGTACGTGTTGCATATACATTATGAATGATACTGTGTATCAGATTTTGAACTAATTTTTATTAGTCATATTGATTATAAACTGTCTTTATTATTCAAAAATTTAAAGTAACCGATAAAGTAGTTTTATTTATTTGCTATTTTTATTTTACGGGGTCCGGCAAAAGTTCCCGACATTTATTAAGCATAAACTTTTATTAAGCATACAATATATTTCAAATATTTTCTTAAAATTTATAAAATCTATGAAAAAAGTGTTCATTAATATCAAAATTAAAGAAAAATCATAACAAATGTTGAAAATGTACTCCCTCCGCCAAGATATACGCGTTCACACGCTTACTGAAACACCATCTAAATTTTTATCTTATCTTTCGACGTTAGCGAAGCTAATAATTAATATTGAAGATTAAGTATGATGTTTATGAACATATTTTTTGCTTAGATTGAGATCTAGATTTTCTTATTTTGAGAAATTTCACAGACTTAGCGGATGATAGATTCTAAATTGCAGTCTTGGTACTTAAGCTAACAAGTATGTTTTGTGACAAATAAAGGAAATATGTTGTTTACCTCAAAAAGTAATCCCAAAATTCAGGGAAATGACAAGAAACTTCTAACTTATACCTATACATTAAATATTTATTTTTTAAACTTTGAAAACAAAACTGATACTACATACATATGTTATAATACATACCCACATATGCTTAATCTTTTATCGCAATAAATATTAAATAAACTTGGGTTCTCCTTAGTCAATTAGAATAATAATTTTAAAATTATAAAAATATTTTGTCAAATAAAATTTAAAAAATAAATCTAAATTTATCTTCTACTTTTAAAAAATATAATAACAAATATTACAGCACGATTCATGGTTATATGCAAAGGCTATTTTAATGGAAAATTTTTGTTAATTTGCTTCTATCAAATATTTTTAAATCTTTTCAATTCCCAAATGTTTATGTTTTAAATATATCAGCCATTTTTCGTTTTCTATTCTTTATTTTTAGATTTTTGATCATTTGTTTGTTTGCGATCGTAGCCTAGAAAAAAATGTTTACTGATAATTATACGCTAAGCCCCCTTTCTATAATATTCTCTCATTTTCTTATTTTTTTAAAAGTTCTGACATTGAAAAAACCAAATTAGCAATAACTCTTAGTAAAAGTTTTAAGTTTTTTATTTATTGATATAGCTATAAATCTAGTATTTTGGATAATTATAAAGTTTGTGCACAGCTCTTTAGTCATTATTTAAGTTACCTTCAAGAAAATGCTGCCCATGCTTTTCATCGAGAAATAATGTCTCGAATGGAGTATCCATTCCAAGTTTTAATTGATCAAGAGTCGTTCGCTTTTTTTGCTCTTAAAATTAAAATTTATTAAAGATAATGTTCATTTAAAACTCGAGAAATAAAATATTACAGTATTTACTCGATTAATTCCCCTGGGAATTATTTTTCAACCCATCCGTGGCATGGGGAATTATTCAATTGAGGGGAATTATTCGATTTTTGAAATTTGAACGTGTAGTAGGGTATTTGTTGGAGAGGGATTGTTGTTATTATTTTTATTCAAGTCGTCCGTAGCAGGGGGAATTATTCGAGAGAGGGGATTTCTGAGTGAGGGGAATTAATCGAGTAAATACGGTATTACTTATTTATCCTAATTAAATGACACATATATTAATTGCACTCCAAAAATTCATTATTAGATATTACAAGGGATAAACGCAAGTGACAATCTCAAAAAACGCAACGCAAGGCCAAAATTTAACGCAAAAAACGCAAAACGCAGTGCGCTGCGCTCACCCCTGGTTATTACTGATGTTAAGTTACCTTCAAGAAGGTACTGTCCATCTTTCTCATCAGGAAATAATTGATCAAATGTAATATCCTCTCCAGGATTAAATTGGTAATGAAACATTCGCTTTTTCTTACCTTAAAATTAAAAATCATTTTATTCAACTAACGATAATTTTTATTAAGTCTTTGAAAGTCTCCTGGGGCCGTATTATAAAAAGCGGGTAGGGTTACCCGGTTCTTTGCTTGCGCCGAAAAATTTTTCTATATTTAGCGCAGCAAGTAAGAAAAGGAAAAGAGAAGAAAAATGGGCATAAAGAGGAAAAAGTGGGAAGAGAAGGAAAAGGATGATTTTAGAGATGCGGATAAGATTTTAACCCTGCTCGGAGCAGGGTAGAAATTATTTTAAAAAATCATAAAAAATCGAGATTTAATGGGAAAATTATAAATTAAATATTTTTAGATAGTTTGGAATGTCCTCTATTTAATGATATAAAGTTTGGAATTTTTTATTTAAAAATCAATTTATGGCAATTTTTAGCAAAAAGTACCTCATTATTTAGTCATTTTTTAAGGAAAAGTAGTACCTTTAAAGAAAATTCATAACTTTTAAAAAAATCTTTAAAAATTTTTGATTTTTTGGTAAATCATAGTTAACACTCCGAACTATATTTTGGCAAAAAATTAAATTTTTAGCTAACTTTTAAAAAAAGTTATGATTTTTCTCGAAAATAGGGAGAAATGAAAAATGAGCGGCGCCAAACCCGATGGTTAGAGAGCAAAGTCTTTGCTGCCGTTAACTGTCTGCTCTTCCCACTGCTCTTTAGTTGGAATGCTCGCGCCGCAGCAAATCGGCGCAAAAACCCCGCAGCTGAGGGTTAATTAACCCTTACCTCGTTTTTATAATACGGCCCCTGGTGTCATCCTTAATAATTTTTTACTAATTTGAATACAATGCAAATATTAGATACTTGATATAATTACAACTTACTTGATAACCTCACTCTGTGTATAAAAGAATTTGTTTATTTTTTTAAATAAGGAACACCAAAAAATACCAAAAAACCGGATTTTATCACAATGCTCGGTTTGAGGGCTATCGGTCGCGGAAACGGCCTTACCCTGTTCGAACTCTATTAACTAAATTAAAATTAAAAATAAAAAAATTTAAGTTTTTCGTCGTTAAATCATAAAATAAGATGTATACCTTCTATAACGGTACCTTTGTTAATGCCTTCATTTTGAATGTTTAGAAGCTCCTGACAACCCTTCTTATGCTTTTTCCTTTCCTCACAACTTTTAGCTTTTAAAAATCCCATACGTTTAGACGGTTTTCCTTCGTGTTTACTTGTATATCCAAAACTATCCTCGTTCATGCATTCAGATAATTCGTTTAGTATGCAAATAAAAAGAAGAATTTCATATATTTTAAAGTTCATCTTTAAATTGAAAATTTATAAGGAGTAAACTAGAGTTCATCAGGGGCCAGAAGTGTTAGGGACCGGATGTTTGCCGTGGATGGCATATCTGGGTTCGGACTTGGGGAAATCTTTTGATCGCGTTGAAGTCTAACTAAGCTTTTGGGGCTTCGGTTCATTATTTTTGCCAAAAAATATTCTGGGTTGGTGTTTCGGGGGGCATATGCTACCCTAGCTTAAAAGTATCATGACTAAACATAGTCAAACATTATAGTTAAGAATTGAAAGCAAATCAGAAAATTAAATTTTCAGAAAAGGAGGATAATAACAATAAGGGAATCGGTGGCAATCACAAAGTTTGTATCAGACTGGGACTTTGAAAACTGAACAGACTGCAAATTTACAACAGTAATGTTGTAAGCAAAGCTAAGCATCACTGTCGCATATGTAGCATAAATTATTGCCAGCCGGCTAAACTTTTGCTTAACTCTTACTGTATTTTTCTAATAAAATTAAAAATAAAAACTTTAAAATAAAGAGAATATTAACAGGATTTTGCAAAAAAATATTTTTGACTTTCAAAATAAAAATTTTTATAAGAGAATTCTTAAATGCAAGTCTTTATGCCGTGTTTACATCTTGCGTTTTGCAGAAAAAAATAGCCTTGAGAATTTAAGAGAGAGATGAGAGAAAAGAGAGAGATGAAAGAGAAATGAGAGAGATGAGAGAAAAAAAGAGAAATTAGACGCGATTTTGTCTCTTCTTTTTTATGAGAGAGAGAGAGAGAAATTAGACGCGATTTTGCCTCTCCTATTTATGAGAGCGAGAGAGAGAGGGAGAGAGAGTAATGAGGCGTGATTTAGTCTCCCGTTTTTTATGAGAGAGAGAGAGAGAGAAATGTGACGAGATTTTGTCTCTCACTTTTTATGAGAGAGAGAGAAAGAGAGAGAGAGTAATGAGGCGCGATTTTGTCTCTCCTTTTTTATGAGAGAAGGAGAGAGTAATTAGACGAGAATTTGTCTCTCCTTTTTTAAGAGAGAGAGAGAGAAATTAGACGCGAATTTGTCTCTCCTTTTTTAAGAGAGAGAGAGAGAAATTAGACGCGAATTTGTCTCTCCTTTTTTATGAGAGATGAGAGAAAAATAGAGTAACGAGACGCGATTTTGCCTCTCCCTTTTTTTGAGAGAGAGAGCGAGAGTAATGAGGCGCGATGTTGTCTCTCCTTTTTTAAATGCTATTTTTGCCGTAAAACGCAAGTCGCTTTTTATGTAAACACGGCATTAGACATAGATGCGTGCGTCTCTGAATTCGATAATTTTATTTTGAAATATGTATTTTTCTATATTCTTAACCGTTTTTCGCTATTATATACACCAACGAGAGCGTTTCTTCTTTAAAAATAACCGCGCAATTGAGTAAACAACATTGCGAGCATGTTGCCCTTATACATAGGCTTTGTAGGATGCCGCTTTACAGGTTGCCTGCCATTTTCAAGTTGAATAAATAAAAATAAATTTAAAAATAAATAATTAAAATTTAAAATAAAATTATCTAGAGTTGGTTAATCTCCCAGGTCGCAGGACGAGGACCGGAGGCGAGTGCGACGAGGGCCAAAGTGCAAAAATGTGTCCCAAAAGCGGAGGACGAGGGGTGTACGGAATTTTGGTCACTGGAATTCTGGTCTCTAGAGTTGGTTATCTCCCAAAGCGGAAGGTTGAGCCCCATCGGTGGCGGGACGAGGGCCGGAGGCGATGGGGACGAGGGCCAATGTGCAAAGATGTACCCAAATGTGGGGGGACGAGGCCCGAAGTGACTCAAGTGAAAGGATAAGTCCCGTGTGGGGGACGAGGGTCGGAGACCCGAAGTTGTTTAAATGCTTGTTTTAAATGCTATTTTTTGCTGTAAAACGCAAGACGCTTTTCATGTAAACACGGCATTAGACATAGATGCGTGCGACCTCTAAATTCGATAATTTTAATTAGACGAATGTATTTTTCTATATTCTTAACTGTTTTTGGCTATTTTATATCCAACGAGAGCGTTTTTCAAAGGTAACCGCGCAATTGAGTAAACAACCTTGCGAGCATGTTGCCCTTATATATAGGCTTTGTAGGATGCCGTTTTCAGGATGCCTGCAATTTTCACGTGGAATAAATAAAAATAAATTTAAAAATAAATAATTAAAATAAAATTTCTAGAGTTATTTTTCCTTATCATACGCAGAAATTTAGTAATAATTTCGGATATTATACTATAGCTAAATATCTAATATATTTAATTAAAAATCAGCCATGGATTTAGTAACAGCATGCATATGAACATTAGCATTTAGTTACGCTGGTGGGAGTGTTTAGTGGCATTTTGGAGGCGCATACATGGACGCGCATTGAAAGCCTTTGGCTTTAAAACTATGCTAGGTTTATTTTTTGCTTGGAGATTTATGTTAAATGTGTTTAGATTAATTTGTAGCTTTTTTGTGAATTTTGGGAAATATATACTTTTTTCGGAGCTTACCTTTAGTCTGTAGAAGTAGGGACTAAAATCCTCTTGGATGGGCTTGGCTTCCGAACTTTGGCCCTCGTCCTTCCTTTTTAGTTGGAAGCGCAACGGGCTATGCCCTTTATTATTTATGGGCCGCGTTGAGTCTTCGGCCCTCACCCTTCCTTCTTAGATTGACGCTCGTGGCTATGCCCTTCATTAGTGATGGGCCGCGTTGGGGGGCTGCGTAGCTGTTTTATTCTATTTTATACCCAACGAGAGCGTTTCTTCTTTAAAAATAACCGCGCAATTAAGTAAACAACATTGCGAGCATATGCACTTATACATAGCATATGATGCCTGCTTTACAAAATGCCTGCTATTTTCACGTGAAATAAATAAAAATGATTTAAAAATAAATAATTAAAATTTAAAATAAAATTTTCTGGAGTTATTTTTCTTTCTCATACGCCTAATAAAATTGGTCCTAGTTGAAAAATAAAAAAATATATCAAAATTAAATTTGGTGATTGAGTAAAGCAGATGGGCTATAGCTATTTCTCTCCTTTAGCTAGTGCAAAACGTTAATTGGCAGCTGGGAGCGAACCAGCTTCTTCAATAGACCGGACTGATGTGTTATCCAGTAACCACGCCGCCTATTCTACACCTTAGGAATTAAATAACTATATGCTTTACAATAGCGACTTGAACCTAAAATATTTATTTAAATTGAAATTTATTCCTAATTACAGTAAAATAGAATTGCAAGGTTAGAGCATCTAATGCCTTACAGGCATCTTAATTGCGCAATTTTGTTTGTAAAATGAACGCGAAGTTGGGGAAAAAATAGTAAAAAATATTTAAGAATAGAGATAAATACAAATTACCAAAAAAGGCAATAATTTTCATAGCAAATTTTTAAAATTTAGAGGCCCTTTCCTTTAAAGCGAGTAAAATCCAAATCTATATACGCGCGCAGCTTTATATTTTTAAATAGACAGGGGCAAGCAAATTAATTCATTTACCCTCTTCTTTTTATTAAATAATGTTTTTATTAGCTTTAAAAATTTTTTTTGATGACTTTAAATTTTTATATTAATTACAATTATTTATAAGTTTTTAAAATAGTCCCCCTTTTTGCTCCCTTTATGAGAGGCATAACCCTTTTGGCGATTTGGAAATGGCCACCCTATGTAAACATAATTGTTGTGTCCGCACTCGCAAAGGAATATAAATAAAAATAAAAACCAAGCATAGGGTTGGGCACAGTCGGTTGTGCTTCGGTCTGGACTCATTCCATAATGGTTCAATTCCATCTCCCATCTAATGAATTTTTCCACAGCAAGAATTCTCGCCTTAACGAAGGCAGAAAAACTCATTACTGCAAGGTCCCATGCATCATTGCAGGACTTTTGCCTTTCTTATATTAATTACGATTAAGCAAATGTTTTTAAAAATATTAAAATTTTCACTAAATTCTATTATATTTTCCATATATTTAAAGGTAAATTCTAAAATGTCCAAGTTTGGAATTTTTCTGTTCTCCATTTTAATTTTTTGGGAGATAGTAGAATGTATGGATAATAAAGGAAAAGGTAAAGTTGGGGAAGAATCTTCCGGACAAGAAGGGGGAGCAAGTAGTCAAGGTCGTAGAGGAGGAAGTCGAAGAAGTCATGCACATATACCAACCCGTGAAAGTGAACCGACCCAAAACTGGAATGAGGAACACGAAGAGGGACCAACAGAGGGCCATGCCCCAAATCTTGACGATGAAATTCAAAATCAACATGAACTTCTTATGCAAGAACGGTTGATGCATTTGCAACAGCATACTGAGATGATAAATCAGCTCCAAAATGCAACAGAACGGTTAAATCTTCCTCAAGAGCTTCGCAGAAATCTACGTATTAAGTCAGAAAAGTTAATGCAAAATATGCAAAAGAAAAATAAAAAAATAGTTAAGCTCCAAAATGAAAGGGAGAAAAGTTTAAAGAAAAAAGAAAATGCTATATATGATCAAGGCAGAGAGAGCTATCTCGATAATTTTGAATTTTCAAAAGAAATGCGTCAGATGGCAAAGGAAAACAATAAAGATTTGAAGGCATTTTCGAAGGAGAAGATGACTGAAGTTCAAAATTATTTATATGGTAAATAAATTTTCTAGAAATTAAATTGGCGAGTTTTATGGTGTAAACAGGAATCGTGATAAACTTAAATAACAGGGCTGGATTTTCTTCCGCTTCAGCCTTCCGCTTTTTAAAATTCAAAATTATCCAGCTTTGTACATAATATATTTTATTTATTTTGATGGTAATACATAAATGTTCGGCTAACTTAAGCCAAGCTTATTTGAGGAATCTCTCGGCACTTGTAATCATGTGACTTTATTTTCAGCTAAAAATAGATTTTGACAAATTTATTATTCAGTCATTATGGAAAAGTAAACAAATAATATATTTAATTTTAGGACAAGTTTCTGAAGATGATGTCGTTCATGATGTTAATCCGGTTAATTATAGATTGGAAGGTGGAGAACCTCAACCC